TGAGGAGGGTTGCGCATGCGGCGAATGCACCGCTTGTCATTCGTGTCACGGATGCCATGAAACGCCATACCGACTGGGTGTTCGTCCGAGTTAACAAATGCCACGCAGTGTTTCAGAGAATTTAGGCATTTGTAAAAAATTTGCAACCAGAACTGCCTTATGCTTTCCGGCAGCTGGGGGCGTAGCAACACAGTGACGACTGCCAAATATCTACGTGAATATATGATGCACCGGCCAGCAACGGAATCGCTGCTCATTAAGAAGACAGGACTCAGACAGCGCCATGTCATTATCACACGTTATATAAGGTTCCAAGGGAACGATATCGACAACGAGAGTTCACAGTCAGAACTTAGGCCAGCTCCGCACTCAGACGCAAATAGCCTCTCCAGTTGCTGAGACCGTAAGGTACCAAGTGCATATAGTTGGACTCCCATCAACGAAATGCCACGGCTTTGAAAATCTGAACAGCTTGAATGGTCCTCAAAGGTGACTAAAAGCAACGGGCGGTGCACTTATGCAAAGTAAATGCAGTATTATGAATTGAAATGAACGCCTATGTGCTGCGGTCATCTTTTCGACCATGTTCATCGTGGTTTACTTGCTAATAAAGCCCAGCGATATCGGAGATACGAAATTCTCCGTGCACGTAAGACCGCACATGAAATGATTACACACCGGATACAAATAATAATGTATCCATTAATTAGTACTGACTTTCAAATAATTTCGAAGGCTCATACCGATATCGTGCCGTAGAAGACTTGAAGGTGATAGGCCTTCTGATTCCATGGTTGGTAGCAAGAGAAAATCTCGTGCTTCCAACCACGAAATCAGAACACCTATCACTTTCAAACTGACTGTTGTCGATATGTGCTGACGCTGGAGTCGCAATTGCATTTTGCCCTTCACGCCTATCGACGTTGCATTATTTTCAAGACAGGCAACTCATTTTGGCAATTCATATTCTACTTACAATGAGAATGTGGTTAATAATCTCGGATTAAAGAACTGTTTACTTGTGCCAAAAGTTTTTTCTGTCAGACGTACAGACAGACGTGATCTTGATGACAGGCAGGAAAGAAAGATAGAATCCTTGAAGCCCAAAAGCCTAAGAAACGCGAAGTACTTTATGCTAAATCACGAGACGGATACATGATCTTAAATCAGCACTATCTGTCGTGCATCGAGCTTCAAAAGTGAGCACAAGTCATGAGCACCGTCACTTCGTTCGATTATTAGTCGCGAATGCTTTGATTTTGTTCGTTGACAGGGAATCAGTGTTGTTCATTTAGTGCCTGCAACGATTTCCTTGTCTTTGCCGATGCGTTGATATTCGTGCCTGAACATTTTCGTAATGTTGATGACATTAACCGAAAATTCATACTTACCTTTTACTTTATCCATTATAAGTAAGAACAGCATTAGCGATAAATCAACTGAAATAAAACATCTGCCAATCGTTTAAAGCGATCTGAAGAACGAATCAACGTTTCGAGAAACAAATCGATTTCAGAACACTAAATCAGTGAAAATCTGCAGATATTTTCTGTCAATGCGTTTAGGCGCTTAGGTCAGAAGCGTTTAGCACCGTAATTGGGGCAATGAAGCGCCCAGTCATGCCTCACCCACTCCGGGCCCTTATGAATCCGGACACGTTCTACTGTACCTTGCCCAGTCGAATTTGGCATGAACAGTCCTTTACACATACAGTGCTTCTAGTTGATTCCACTGTTTTTTTGTGCTTCACCTTTTTGAAACTTGCTGAACGGTAGCTTCTGTCTACCATGGCAGTAAACTTGACTAGACCTGATATTTTTGGCGGTTGAATATTAGTCCCAGCATTATTGCTTGGCCAGAAAACTGCCAGTTTTCAATACCGCCAGTACGAATGACTATCTCGTGTCACTACTTCGGATTTGTATGCCGTAGTCGGACCGTCCCCTTGCTTCTTGCAGCTTAGAGAACGGTTTAAATAGACCATGGCTTTACGGTATTTCAGCATCTGCACTACTGTGGCGTAAAACAGCTCCCACTTCGTTGGCTGGAACAAACTCGTTTCGAACACCAACGGATATACCTCGACTCGTAGCAAAGCAAGGGACGGCGCGATTACGCCGCAAGAATTCCGCAGGAGTGACCAAAGATGGAAACTACTGTCTCTGCTACTTGTAAGAAATACATATTTTCATTTTGTGACCAGCAGCACGAAAGACAGCAAATATTCTATATTGAACAAATATCTAACCTTTCGACCGAACTTGTATCTTGTCCAACGGTCGGAGTCCGGTTGAAATCTTGCTCCAAAATTAACGTCTTACAC